ATTAATGGACACAGTTATCCTTTGTGGAGTTAGTAGAGCTTGGATTTGGCTTTTTCTATATTGTCCCAGATCTTTTTGCTAAAAAATAGACTCAATAGAAGAATGAACAAATTACATGTTACTTCAGCCTTCATCATAATTTCTGTTAATATTTGCACATGAATACAACATATGTTACAGAAAAAAACAGCTACATAAAGTTTTATTTTTTATTGTGATTTTAACAAGTTTACAGAATAGTTGGATTTTTCATTCATTCATTGATGCACATTTTCCTCCCGACCTCCAGTTTATGCACTTTTATATTAGTTTGCTCACAAAGCTAATTTGCATTGTGTTTCATTCTCTTTTTATTTTGTTTCATTCAATCATTCCCGTGCATTATGTTTTATAAAATCAATTACCATTGGACCTTACTCATCATTACCTAAACTTTTCAGGTCCTATTGGATCAGATCCTTTCCATTTCCTTCCACTACCTCTCTACCCACTTAACTGGGTAACCCTATGGTTTCACCCCTATTCATCCATACCCCTTTCCCCTGTGTGTGCCCATATGTTTTATTAATTATCCTTCTGTTTTTACAAAAATGGTTTTCTTGAGTAATCTTTATGGAAATTGAATCACTAGATCTTTGCTTTTTGTGCTGCAAATTTTTTTGTGATTTGAAATGCCATTTTTTTTCCTCCAAAGGTCTTTCCAGCACCATCTTCAAGACATATCTATTTATTCTCTCACTTGTCCATGGGATGTTCAGTGCTCTTCTTCAACACCACGGCTTAAAGATGCCAGTTCTTTTCCTGTCATTCTTATTCATTATCCAGTTCTCTTATGCACAGCTAGCAATCAGAAAGACTATGTCCTGAATCAGATGCACCTTAGTTTGCAAACTGACATCACTACCTCTCAATAGTTTGGAAAATTCCCTATCTGCAGATTTTCCCAGTGCAATGTGTCTATTTAATATTACCTACTTTCTAGTAATAAAAAATAAAATCATATCCTACTTTTGGATATTGGTTTTTAATAATATGTGTCCTGATTTCTTATTTAATATATAGATGCTGTTGTTGTTGTTATGTGCTGTTGAGTGGCCTGCAACTCATAGCGACCTTATGTACAACAGCCCTAAACTCAGCTCTATCCTGTGCCAATCTCACCATCTCCGACACACCTACCCCATCACCCCAGTCACTGAATCAATCCATCTCATCAAGTGTCTTCCTCTCTT